AAGCAAAGCTTGCATGCGATCCTTTTGGGGTATTTATCAAACTATAATCGGGAAGATATGGGGGTTGTTCACTATTTCCGTTTCAGAGTTAGCATATTGTCGCGATCCAACCAACTCATTTCCTCCGTGTCTCTAACTATCCATTACAACGATCCCGGAGGTCCCCATCCAGGCAGCCTACCACGACCTGTATGATAATCTCTTGGTTGCGGGCGTACAGCAAGACAGTCGAGATTAATGATATCCGTCATTTGTGGTTTGCTGGCGTCTCAGAATCCGCAGTTGTTAAGATTATCATTTGGAAATATTCCTTGATTAACGTCCAGTATTCATTGCATCCTTCGATGATTGATTGAACTAACAGGCGATCAGATAGCTCCGGTTCGAGGGTCGATTGTATATTATATATATATATATATATATATATATATATATTGTATTACAGACATCCAGTGGCGCTTTTACGATTGTTCACCAGGCGTAGCGAGAATCTGTCTTGTAGCAGAGCATAGTGCGTGTCCACCGGAAAGACGGTAGTCTTCGACGGATACTCGCCAGCGGTAACTGAGGGCAGTGTGGTCAATTTGAGTCCATCGCAGTGAAGACGTAGGCGGTATCCATGCAAGGTGCTGTTCTTTTTTATGAGAGAAAATTATGATCAATAGAATCAATCTGTGGTCCGCGCAAAGTTGAAGTAGTTGATGTCCGTTGTCCGTCCGGTTGGTTGGAATTGCGTGTGGGTCGCCTGGACACATTTATGATTTTTCGAGGGATTTCATTTGAGCATTGAATTCCCCAGTGATTATTACGACTTTAATTGACCAAGCACTTGAGAGAAAGAGAAATCATTGGATTATAATTGCACAACGCGGTGCCTGGTTATTTTGATAGGTCAGCACTGGAAAGTAGACTGTCATCTTCTCTGGTAAATCCTTATGATCACCGATTCACATTCCGCGTTTGTAACCTGTTCCCTCTCCCACACTGAGCCCAAAATCAAGGCCGAACCTCTATTGTTTAAAAACCGATGGGGACAGCCCATCCGGGCCGGAAGCCTTATACCTTTTGAGATAATTTATTTCCTAAGTAACCTCCATTGCAGATGGAGGACTGATGTCAACTGGCATCACGTATGTACAGGGATCGCAATCTAGAGCTAGCTTGTAATTTGTAATTTGTATATTCATTGGGGTTTGATGAACGGGTATTCCAGCCACTAAGCAGGAGAACGATAAGGGTTCTCAACCAAAGCCCTTAGCTCTGACAGGAACCTATCCGCAAGGCAGCGGCTGAAGCGAAATGGAGGCCCATTTACTTAGATCAACTATTCCTTCACTATTTTTTACCGAATGAGACGCAAATTCTAGTCGAACCCCAAACCTGGAGGACCAGGAGACTGAACTTCGTCTGACCTCTACCCTTCGACCTTCCAGGCGTGATTAAATCTTCGGCCTGACAAAAGCCCATCCAAATATCCGCCTAAATCTTTTGTATGTGTCGGTGGTGGAATGAGCCGACCGCTTTGTGTTGGCTTTTCGCTGTTCGTGAAAAACAAGGAGCCGCAAAAAGCCGTTCCAGTGACTGTCACCAACGGAATATGGACCACGGAATGTCGTCTTATGAATCTCAAAACAGAAAAAACTCGGGTATTTTAACTGAGATGTGTTTCTGATAAAAAATGTGGTTTCATTTGTGCCTAGTAAACTTGTTTTTCTATCGGTTATTCCCTCTGTGGCGATAGAAAAAACTTCATCAGTCAAGATTGCATATTCAGTCAATGAGAGTTGT